TATCTATCTATCTATCTATCTATCTATCTATCTATCTATCTATCTATCTATCTATCTCTGCAGTACCAGGGCCTAAACTCAAGGCTGTGTACACTCCAGGCAAGTGCTCTCCCACTGAGTTCTCTTTTTACTTTTTATTTTTTGAGGCTGTGTCTTACTGAGTTTCCCAGGCTAACAACTATGTAGTTCGCTTTGTAGTCTAGGCAGGCCTAACTTACAATCATCCTGCCTCTACCTCCTTGGGAGCTGAAATTATAGGTCTGTGTCACTAGGCTGGTTATATCTTGTTTAGGTTTCATTCTTGTATTAATCCTGATTCTGAGAGGTTTTCTGTGTCTTGTAATTTTAAAAAAGTGAGTCATATGTCTTTTTTTTTTTTATATTGACTTAAGTAGGTTTTAAAAAATATTCTAGGTGGGTTGGGGAGCTAGCTCATTCAAGGACCTGACTGAGTTCAGTCCCAAGAACCTGTATCATAAAGCTGAGCACTGTAGCATGTGCACTTGTAATCTCAGCACTGGGCTGCAAAAGTGTCCTTTATTTGCCTGAGGTAAGTGTCATCTTGGAGGCTTACTGCCTCTGTCTGCTAACCTAGGCCTAGCTGTGGAAGCCTCTAGCCTCCATACTATCTAATCCAGGGCTAAAATGTTTTCAGCCTCTGAAACTTACTGCTGAATAAGCTCACCCTTTCTTGTTCTTTCTGAACTCTGGGCTGGATGGTTCAACTCAGCTGTTCTGGCTCAAACTCCTCTCCAAGCTGACTGATTCAATCTTTTTTCTCACCATCTCACTTAAAAGCTCTGCTTGGCCTCAAACTAACTCTAGCAATCTGTTCTAATGTTCTGGCTCCCTCTCATTCTCTGGCTCATTCTGTCTTCTCCTGTGTCTGGCTTGTTTTCTCTTCAACCTGTCTCTGTAAAACTGTCCTGGTAAAAACTCCCTCTGAATTCCATGAACTGAACTGGCATGAACTCACTCCACTGTACTGCCTCTCAGCTGATGGACTCAACCAAGCTCCCTCAACATGTCTATCTGTATGTCTGTGTTTGTGTTCTGGACTATTAAATGGTTATAACTAAATTTTTTTTAACCTTCCATAGGGGCCGGATGTAGCTCAGTGGCGGAGTATATTCCTTGGTGTGTACACATACAGGATTATTCCTCAGTGCTATGTGTGTGTCCATGTGCATGCATGTACACTAGCACACACACACACACACACATACACACACACACACACACATACACACACACACACACACACACCACAAAGTGAAAATGATAAGGCATATTTTGTTTCGTTTTTCAGAACTGAGATCAAATCCAGGTAGCCACTGATCTGGATGTGTGTTCTTGATAGACACATACATAAAATGACCCCTTCTTTTTTAAAGAGCAACTTAACTGTGCCTACCAAAAATAAAAATATACAAATTTTGGGCTTGGAATTTAGTTCAGAGGTAGAGTCCTTGTCTAGCAAACACAAAACCCTGTGTTCAGTTCCTAGTACAGTAAGAAAGACAGAAAGAAGGAAGAAAGGAAGGAAGGAAGGAAGGAGAAAGAAAGGAAGGAAGGAAGAAAGAAAAGAAGAAGGAAAGAAATGGCCCATACAAGCTCACTGGCCTGAACACCCTATCAGTAGGAATTTCTCTCATTGACATGTCTGAAGTATGTTAACATGTTTCTAGAAGCAAAGTTACTGTGCAGGGTTAGAGACTAATGAGATCAAACAGCCAGTGAGGCAAAACTTTGCAAAGATGGATTTATAGTGAGCCTATTTCTACATGCTGATTCGGGGACCGAAGTGTGGATCAAATAAAGTCTGTTCTCACCAGTGTAAATTTATACATGGGAATGTAAACATGCCTGCAGGAAGTGCCCTTTATTCAGGGAGTGGTGGAGATGGGAGGGCAGCTTAGGACTGCTGCTCTAAGAGACTAGCTTCGTCATGTCAGTAGTTTAATATACATTACCTGTGGGGTTGCCAGGAATCTAATATTTATTACAGCACAGCATGAATTTTCTGTATTATTTTTTGAAGGAAGATTTATATTTTTATGCAGGCATTGGTAAACCACATGCAGCTTTACAAAGTTCAAGCAAGTATAACTCAGTGGTAGAGAACATGCTCTGTGTTCCAGGCCCAGGCTCCCAGTACCACACAGAATACGAACTCACTTGCACACACAGATATACATACATACGTGCACAGGTACACAGACAGGACATCACACACATGTATACATGCATACATGGTAAAGCAAAATTGAAATGAAAAGGCATTCTTGGCAATGATTGTAAAGTGTTTCAGGACTTTCCAAAAGGCCCACATCTTACCTTGAAAAGTCACTAATCGAGAAACTAAAGATTAAAAAGATTCTTCATGTGTAGCTGTGCCTTTCTGTCATACACTTGCAGTGAAATCAGATGACGAATTTCTATGCTGCTTTTTGGGAACGTTGATTTGAGAATGTTGATTTGCCCCTCGCTGGCCCCACCTCAACCCTAACCATCAGGCTGTGGTGGGGGTACATTACTGAATACCGAGTGATGCTCATTTCTTTTGCAAACCAAATGCTTCCCCAACAGAGCTGTCACTTTACCAAGTTATGTGTTCTGTGTTTTGTTTGTTTGTTTGTTTGTTTGTTTGTTTTGGATTTTGAGACAAGCGCTTGCTAAAATCTAGCTAGCCTGGTACTTCCTATGCAGAGCAGGCAGGCCCTGAACTTCAGTGGTCTTTTTATAGCTCTTTGAGTGCCAACATGCCTGGCTATGATGGGAAAATCCTCCTGTTTTAATGCTTATATGACTTCAAAATTGTTATTCTTGCTTTTCTTATTTATAATTGTTTCCTAGGTTCTGAAGAAGATGATGAAGTCGTGGCAATGATTAAAGAACTGCTAGATACTAGAATACGGTATGTTTTAAAACTGCGCCCCCTCTGCTTGGCCCCTATGCCCCTTAGTCTAGTGCTGCAGAGACAGTTCTTGTTAAAGTAGCAGGCTTTCAGCAGGACACTGGAGCAGGGCTCCAGATAACTAGTCAGTGTAAAGCAACATTATTTCCCTTGAACTTAAAGCCTGCACCCTGGGATTCAGTCCCATCTTTACAGCAGTCCATATGGATATAGTCAAGAGGACTTCCCCTCATAGCCAGTGTTTAGGAAAGAGAGTGGACTTCATATTCTCAAGGATAGTGAAGAGAGGAGCACATAGCAGCTGCCCCCAAAAGAGTAAAGACAAGAGCCTGGCGTGGTGACTCTGGCTTTCAGTCGCTAGGGAAACCAGTAGGGTCTCTGTGAGTTTGAGGCTGGCTTGGTACACAGTAAGACCTTGAAAAACAACAGTAGCGACAAGACGAGTGGGGACACCCTGTCTCCACTTGTCTCACAGCAGATACTAAGTCCATATTTTAAGAAAAATGTGCTCCTCTTCAGCTTTTTTAAGACACAGCACAGATATTTAATACAAGAGGCTGAGTGGCTAGTGTGGCAGCATCTGCCGTTGATCCCAGCATGTGGGAGGCAGAAGCAGATACTGAGTTTGTGGACAACCAGGGCTACATAGAGACACCCTGTTTATAATAATAATAATAATAATAATAATAATAATAATAATAATAATAATTACTAGTTTTACTGTGAAACTGAACAAACAAAGTGAAGTGGATCCTTGATACTGGAGATATTGTAACTGGTGTTTAAGACAGGTGATTAAAATGTTCGATAAAATAAATGAAAAGATGAGGAACTCCTGCGTGAACAGCAATCTGTAAGGAAAGAAGAGTATTTATGGAACTAAAACTATAATAAATTAAGACCTTATTAGATTAGTTTCATGTGAGATGTGGCACAGCTGAAGAGTGGACTCATGCTAGGATACAGAACAGGAGTGAAAAGCCAGGTGGAAGCACACAGAAAGGAGAATCCGGGGAAAGATGAGAAGGTAGAGTGTCCTGAGGCTCAGTGTATAGAGGTAAGAGAAACGCCTGAACAGAGGGCGAGTGTGCACAGAAGTGTGTGAGTCTTGGCCCTGTTGAGCGAGGCATGGTCAAAGTAACCATTCATAGTAGAATCGTAAAAGTGAAGTTGGTAATTGGAGGTGACTGCTGTGTAGAAGAAAAGACAGACAAAAGAGTACTTGTTCCGTGCAAAAGAAAACAGACTGGAAACGACGACAGCATTATGCCTGAGGATTTGGCAGGAACATTTAAAGGAACATAAGATGGCTAGCAATGGATGAAGTTGTCAGAATGTGAGAAAACCAACTACATGCTCCTTATCAGGATGCATAACCTAAACAGAAGGACAGAAACATTGCAGATAAGCTAGAGAAGTGCATAGCATCACACAGTTTTTATAGGAGAGCTCCTGAAGTCACACAGACACCAGAGACAGTGTGCCAACAGCTGGAGACACCACCACACAGTGAGAGCGTTTGCTAGCAAGAATATATTCTAACCATCCAATATACAGATTCAAAATAAATGAACATTTGACAGACGTGAAATATCCCACAGCTATGTGAGGAAATTAACACCTCTCCCCAACAAAGCATAAAGTAATCAGGAAAGAGAGTTTAAGATTTATTATACTTATTTATGTATTTTTGAGACAAGGTCTCACTATGTAGCCCTGGCTGGCTTGAAACTTGCTCTGTATCTGCCAGATTGATCTCTAACTCACAGAGATCCATCTGCCTCTGTCTTCTCATTGCCGGAATTAAAGGCATAAACCACCACACCCAAGCTAGATAGAGTTTTTTGAACATATGATTTAACAGTTGAAAAAATGTTGGCATATGTGTAATGCAGTGGGCAAGAATGAAATATTATTTTCACATGTGCGTGGCTCATGCACTAAAGCAGCATGTATGCATGTTCATAAAGCAGAGTTAAATTCATTGAGCACACAGGTTCATTCTGATTAATGGCCATGCTGGGGAGAGCAGGAAGCAGTGGCGTGCTTCCCTTTTCTGGGGCATGTAAGGGTGGGTAAAAGCATTGTTTGCCAATCTGAACAGTTGCACTTTTGTTGAGACAGGTTCTCACTCTGCAATTGGGCTGGCTTGGAACTCTAGCCTGAGCTAGAACCCCTGGCAGTCTTCCTCTCTGCAAGGGTTTCAGGCCTGAGCCTCCGTTCCCGGCTTGAATCCTGAATCCCAGTCATAATACCTGTCCACAAAGCGTGTGACACCAAGTACCCATTAACAGCAGGGTAGGTAATCAGCTCTGCCACATTTCTGTAGTGGAGTACTGTGTAGCCCGGAGATGGATGGGCACTTATGCTCAACAAGAGTGAGTTATGTGGGGAGGAAAAAAGCTGCGCACACACCAGTGACTGTGAACCAGTGAGGATGCTCAGTATAGGGAAAGTCACTTGCTTCCAAGCCTGCTTACCTGATCTCCATTCCCAGAACCTACGTGGAAAAGAAAGACTCCAGAAGGTTTCACCTGATTACACATATGTGTGTGCGTGCCACACACACACACACACTAACCAAAATCTAAATTTGATCACGTTATGGGACTGGAGATATGACCAGATGGTAAAGTGCTTGCCATGTAGGCATGATAACCTGAGTTTAGTCCCCAGAACCCACAGTAAGAAAGCTGGCCATGGGGTGTCTTTGCAATCCCCAATGTTTGTGGCAGAAATAGCTTAGCCTAACAAATAGATTCCTGTTCGGTGAGAAACTCCAGTCAGTGAGCAACACACACACAGGCAGGTACACACACACACACAAACACAGGCATGTGAGCACATACACATGGAAACACGTGCACGAGTACGCACACATACATGAAAGTACATGTACACATGCACACATACAAAAACACATGCACAGAACAATGAACTGTCTTAATCTTTTTCATTGAAGGCGTCTGTTGTTTTAAATGTGTTCTGAATGTCCTGTGGCTGCAGGCCAACTGTGCAGGAGGATGGGGGCGACGTGCTCTACAGAGGCTTTGAAGATGGCATCGTGCGGCTGAAGCTCCAGGGCTCCTGCACCAGCTGCCCCAGCTCCATCATCACCCTGAAGAGTGGGATTCAGAACATGCTGCAGTTTTATATTCCAGAAGTGGAAGGCGTAGAGCAGGTAGGCCACACTGACAGGCTGGTTTGGTAGTAAAGAGGGACCGGTCTATAACCTGCCTTTACTTGGGAAACTCCATAGGTGAGTCTGTTCTGATTCACGTTATCAGAGGCTTCAAAACACTTGTTGGAGGGTGGTCTGGTACACTCTGTGTTCAGATGCTGATTTCTGTGTCCCAAGATCGGATTGTGGTCCAGGCATGGCCGTTATAAGAAATGTTGAAGAATTTACTGTATCAATGGTGTGTAAAGAATGCTCCCCAGTTATCTTTGATTGGTTAATAAGGAAGCTGAAGAGCCAGTGACTGAGGAGGCAGTAGGCGGGACTTCCATTCCCAGTCTGGGGAGGAAAAAGATGGAGCAAAAGCAGCCAGGGTGAGACTAGAGGACAGGTAACAGGGCACATGGCTGGCAAGTAGACCCCGCTAGCATAGTCAAGTTAGAATCGGTGAGAATCTGCCCAGCTACTGTGCTTTAGAGCTTATTAATAAATGTAAAAAAGCTCCGTCTCATTATTTGGGAACTGGAGCAGGTGTAAAAAAGAAACCCTTTTTCCAAGAAAATATCATGCAGTTGTAGGTGAACGTAAGAGTGGAAGAACTCAAGTAATTTATCCACTTATTATTCTCCTCCATCTCCACAACCATTTTTTTTTTCCTTTTAAACACAGTTTCTTGTAGCCTACGGTCACCTTGAACTCCCTGTGTAGCTGAGGGTGACCTTGAACTCCTGCCTCCCAAGAGCTGGGATTGCAGATGTGTGCCACTGTTGTTTTTAACAATGTTTCAACTATTCAATTTTACCAATAAAGACTTGGGACCCAGGTGCTGGGTGAAAGCCTGCTAGCTCAGGGAGGCAGGGAAAGCACCCTGCTGACCCTCCTCACCTGATGCCCCCAGAGAAGAAACATTCTTCCCCATGCTGTCTCAAAAACCCTCAGACTGAATGTCCCTGCCTTCTACTCTCTATCCATCCTCCTGACTTCCTCTTACACTCTATGGTTTTTTTTTTCCTATGTTCACCCCCTGTCAACCGGTTGCTTGCTCCAGCCCCTAACCTAGGGTTAACTTTATTTCATCCTGTTGACAGTACCCAAGCAGAAAACTCTTGGATTAAAGGTGTGTGCTAGGACTGAGCGGACTGAGCCATACCACAGCTAGAAACAGGTTTTTCCAGTAAACAACACAGTCTTGGGGTTCACAGTGTGATTGGATATCCTGCAATGTGCCACCACACCTAGTCTCTTTTCAATTTTTCTATTCCGTGTATGTGAGTGTGTGTGCATGCTTGTTATGTGGGTGCGCACACTGGTGCAGGCCAGAGGGAACTTATGGAACTGGTTCTCTCCTTCCACTTTCTGTGGATTCCAGGGAAAGAGTTCAGCCCGTCAGCCATCAGGGGCAGGGGACACCTGCTTCTTTTCCTTGGAGCATCAGAACGTGCAGCCACTGGACTCCAAGAAATGAAGCCTAGCCAGGCTGGCAGGGTCCAGGGGTACCAGGCCCATCAGTGAGTGGCCAGAGAGAGAAAGCCTTTTCGGAAAAAGCTCTTCAAGTGTTACAGCCTTTTAGGTCAGAGCTCCTCAGTGATACAGCAACTCTTAGACGATATTCGGTTAAACAGCTTGTGAGTTTTATTCGGGTGAACAAGGGCTATATGAACCTTGGGGACTAGAAAGAGATTTTCAGGGTGGGCACATATCATTGGCTGGGGCTGAGATGGTGGGGATCCTTTAATTGCATGAAGAGGAATTCCAGGTTCTAGGCTGAGTGACTGCCTCAAGAATTGCAGAGGTAGGGAGTCAAAGCATGAAGGCATAGAACAGGGAGGGAGCAATCCTCAGTCCTGCCCATCTCAAGATTGAGATTTTCAGGGTTTGGATACATCTCAACCTTGCTCCAGCTCCATGCCGATTTACCTGGTGGCACGCCATGTGCCCCAGAGTTATCACAGTGGCACTGCTAAGAAGCAGGGCCTCAGGGAAAGGCTCTCAACAAGAAAACTGTCATAGAGGTTAGAAATTTGAGAAACCCCGTGAGTGGTGTGTAGCTTTAAAGGTGTCTTCTCCTAGTTGCTTAGAGAATCACGCATCTCTGAGTAGTCCTGAAGAGCAGCCTTCTGGTCTAGTACATCTAGCACAAGTCCTTATTGGTTCCCTGCTGGTGCAAAGCTCCCTGTATGTCTCAGCCCTGAGTGCATGGGCTTCTCGAAAGATTACAGGCCCTGCCTGTTCCCTTGTCTTTCTCTGCAGCAGCTCTGCTGGGTCTCACAAGCGTCTTTTGCACATCAACACTGAACAGCTAGGCTGGGTCTCAACAAGTGTCCCTTGCACATTGATACTGAAAAACTTCTTGGGAATCTTACTCCAAATTTATGAATGATTCTGCCAAAGGAGTTGATTTGCAGAAGTCTTTGGATTAGATATCACTGAAATTGAATATAAAATGTTTATTCTAAAAATACCTATTTTTAGTCAACCTCACAGAGAAACTAGGAGAAAATTCTTCCATTAAGTATCTCTTATCAGAACCCATGGAATGTTTCAGTTTTTGGTATTGTTTGGTGTTGCTGCCTGGGTGGTCTTGCTCTCTTTCTTGGGCTGGAGTGACTCTTTGACTTCAGCCTCCAACTTGCTGGGACTTCTCTGCCACTGTGCTCATCAAGATTTGTTTTTGCATCATTACTCCCCTCCTCCCTCATCCCTGATGCATTTTGAAAACATAGTATTAGATGAGGCCAGTAGATTAACAAAGAAGGAGCATTTTTCGTCACATGTCCAGGGTAGGCACAGAATTGACTGCTGCATTGCCACATAATTGTAGTAGGTGTGGTAAGGAGATAAACATTAATAGCTTTCTATAACTCTTCCCTTTTCAGGGGTGTTAGCCTTTATTACCCAGTATTACATCAGCCCATGGGAGGACTAGCCTTTTCTTTTTCCTTTAAGTTTTTTTTTTCCCTGAAAATCTTCACACTTCTCTAGGTTTAAAATATTTTTTGAGTAAAATCAAAATAGTTTATAGTATTTTAAAAACTATTTTAAGAGATTTTGGGAGGAGGGGTTCCTTTTTTTAAAAAAAAATATATTCTTTTCTGCTTTGAGACGGGTCTCACTATGAGGCTCTGGGTCATGCTGTAGATCAGGCTGGACTGGAGCTTACCCTGTAGATCAGGCTAGCCTGGAACTCACTGTGTAGACCAGGATGTCCTGGAACTGACAGAGGTTTGCCTGCCTTCACGCTAAAAATAAAGGCCTGTCTCCACGCCTATTTTAATTCTTGTTCACATGTTTGTATGTACACACACCACCATGCACAAGAGGAGCCTTGAGATTGGTCCTCTTCTTCACCATGTTGGGCATGGGGATCGGGTCTTGGGCCCATCAGCGAAGCCCTCTACCCTGAGCCATCTTTCCACTGTCTGGCTGGTTTTCTGAGTCCAGGTCTCCTGTCGTTTAGACTGGCCTGAGCTTGCTGTGCAGCAGACACTGGCCACGAACTCTGGATTCTGTGATTTCAGGCCTGCACTCTACTCCTGACAGGATTCAGGTTTTGATTAAGTGTGTTTACAACAATAATTTAGTTAAACTTCAGTGAATGTATTTCAGTAAATAAGGTGCTTTCAGAACAAAATGAGAGTGTTCACAGTGCCAGCCTGGCAGCCGAGTTCCACATTTGAAAACTAAAGGATAAAGGAGAGAACCCACCCCAGAAAGTTGTCCTCCTACCTCCACAGCTGCCCTGGGATGCACACCCCTTCTCTCTCTCTGTCACACACACTTTTCTAAAAGCATGAAATAATTCTCACTGAAGAATGCCAGCTAGCCATTTTCAGTCTGCCTAGCTGAGACACTGCTGCCAGAGGCCTTTCTTTTGAGACAGGGAACATGGGTACAGTTCTTTGATATGTATTTAATTTGCTTTTATTGTCTTAGGATCACAGGTTCTGACCTAATCTTGTGCTTTGGGCTGTTGGAGTACTGTGCATTGTCATGGACTATTTCAGGCAGGCAGTTGATGTTTAAATTAGAAAAAAAATAACAATTTCTAATCTTTCCTTAACTCTTGAATTCTCTTTCTTTCTGTCTTTAGGTGATGGATGATGAATCAGATGAAAAAGAAGCAAAGTCGCCTTAAATAATCTTCATTTTCTTTGGCTACAAGCATTGGACTTAATTTCACTGAGTCTGTATTTGTCTCTGCCATGGAAGTTGATTAATAAAATGTTTTCTTCCTCCAGAATGATATAAATATCATTTGCTTCACCTCACAAGTTATTTATACCATCCTGAGTCATCATCCACACACGTGGATTTTATCCATGGGTATTTTTATTCCTCATCTCTGTTGGTTCGTTCTTTGCATGCTGTGTGAAACAGTTTAAAATACATTTCCCATTTAACCCATTTACCTTTTTAAAATACAGAAATAAATAGAAAGAATGCTTTTAAAATATTCTAAAATAATTTAGTTTTTCCCATGAGAGAACCAAAATGATTTTTTTACTGCAGTTTTTAGTTTATTAAAAAAAAAAAGCTGAGTTGTGATGTTGCGCACCTTTAATCCCAGCTCTCAGGAGGCAAAGGCAGATGGATCTCTATGAGTTCAAGGCCAACCAGGTCTACAGAGCACAGCCAAGGTTGTCCCGACAGCCAAGGCTACACAGAGAACCCATCTTGAAAAAAAGAATGAAAGCACTAAATAATTCTGGTTTAAAATGGTAGCTGATGAGTAGCTGGCATGCAGGAGCCCATAATGCCGTGAGAGGCTCAGAGAGCAGTCTGCTGCCATGGGGAAAGAAGAGCCTGGGCCATGCGAAGCTCTTGAGGCCCTGCCTTCCTGCTTAAGCATCTTCTCAGGAACTCTTAACAGGTAAAGACAGATCTTAGAGCCCTTAATTATCAGCTTTACTGATTTGTGATTTATGGCAGACTGCCAAGTGTCAGCCTTGAAATTAAACAAATTGACATGTATTTTATCAGTTAATTGTAAATAAAAGAAGTCAGTGGGTCGAAGCAGTTACTCTGTCAGTGGCTGACTTGTGTAATTTAATCGGGCAATAGATTTCCTATCTGAGCCTGCTGTGATGAATGCCTGTCATCCCAGGGCTTCAGGGGTGGAGGCAGCAGAGGTTTCAGGTCCGTGTGGGCCACATGAAACCCTGTCTCAAAGGAACCAAAACAGTGGTAATGATAACTCATTTTTAGTCATGTTTAGCTAAAATAAAAAGTGGAAACAAAACTTCCCAGAAATGTATAAGCTATTGTTAGATAAATCCTATTGAAAATGGTTTGTAAAGGCCAGGTTCAGGCCTGCAATTCCAGTGAAGGTAGGAGGACCACATGTTTAGATCAGCCTGGGCTACTTAGCAAGATCTTGACTCAAAAAATTAAAAGGAGAAAGATGGAGAGCACGCAGAGGAGAGCAAATGGAGGTTACAGCAGCCATAGGATGTTTGCCTAATACATACAAAGCCCCAGGTTTGACTCCCCAGCAGAGAAAAGAAAAACAGTAAATGTAGGATAGTTTGATACTTACTTGAAACTAAGACTCTTGGTTAATAGCAAGATTGGTTCTGAGATTTCTTGCTAATGGTATAGGATAAAGTGCTTTGTAGAGCGAAAGGGCCACAGATTCTTCACAGGCCGTTAAACTTGAAATGCTGGGTACAGGGTTTGTATGTAAGGCCATATGGGAGTAATTATGCAAAAAAGTAAATTTCCACTGGTGGGTCACTATGCAACAGCACCTTAAGTTAAAAACTTAAATCCCCCTGGGAAGGTAACTGTTGCGTCTTTTAATAGGTGTCATGGTGGAGGCACAAGCTAGACATTTTCCATCGTCCTGCTCCCAAGTGGTAAAGCCAAGAGGACCCCACACTCCAGCTGCACAGCCATGTGCACAGCTCCCATCCTGGCCTGCTCTAGGGGTCCCGCAACCTCATCACGGAGGGAGGAGGCTCTGGCAGGCACTTCTGGTGGAGAAGGATCTTTCCTGCCTTGACGCAGAGCAGAGCCACAGTAGACCAGAGCGGTAGTGTGTGCACAGGGGTCTGTTTCCCCACTGACTACCAAGTTCCTTCTCTGCAGCCCAGCGGGAGTCTGCTCCACGGCTCCACATCAGAGTTAGCTGTGCTGCCTCACGAGTTCACGGGCTCTGCAAACAACTTTTGTATCCTCTGGAGATCCAGGGAGTTTATCTTGGCAGCAGCCCGAATAGTCTGCCCCTTATTCTGACACATACAACAGGACAGAAATAGCACTGTAAAGGTAAGAGCAGCTTGTTTCACTGTTTCCTGTATATTAAGTTCCTTCTTAGCAAAACTAGAAAGCTGTCTCCTAGCCTCTCCCTCATGGAGGAGAAAATGGAAGTGAATTGTTCTTGCAGACGGGAGTGAGCACCCATTGTCTTAGCACGAGGAGTTAGGTCATGCTCTCCTAAGGTAGCAGATGGTCTTCGTAGCTTCCTGCTTTTTTCCCTCCTCATTCTCTTAGCAACATTTCCCTCTTTCGTTTGGGAAACAGCTGTCGGTCACTATTTCCCAACCATCATTTTCACAGGAATGAAGCACTTACCTCACACCAGCCTAGAACCCTCACCTAGAACACAGGAAGTGAGAATGGTGGAGGAGCCTCAATCTTGTGGTGGAAGCTGCAGATGTGGTTCTAGAACTGTCTGAGGCCATTTCCCTGTCTTCAAGATTAGAGGTGACAGCATCCTGCAGCATTGGCTGTGGTTTTTATATAGATGTGACCAAAGATATTGTATCCCTGCCTTTCACACTTACTGTTAGCCAAGAAATCCCTCCTTCGTCTAGCTTAAAATGGGTTTCTATTGCCATTTGTAAAGAAAAAAAAATTTTAATTATGGGAAAAGTCAATAAAATTACTGGTTTTCCAGAGTGTGCATGTGTACATATGTAAAATATGCAGGGAAAGCTCATGTGCACACACGATTACATACAGCAGTGGAGCTTGTTGAATCCAAAATCTCAAGGATAGGCAGTTGAGCAGGAGTCTGAGCTCTGAAGCCTGGCCGCTCCCGAGGCCTTGCTTAGGGAGTTCCAGGACAACCACAGCTACATAGAGAAACTCTGTCTTGAAAAACCATTTCATCCGCTGAGCCATCTCTCCAGCCATGCGACAGGGTAGGCTCCTGGGAAGATACGGTGTGAATCTAGCTAAGACTCCTGAAGGGATGGGGGGGGCATGAAAACTGAAGTGACCACCTACTAGCCAGGTAGGATAGTTGAAGCAGGGAAATAACAACCCACCGACAAAACCTTTGATCCAAAAATCTCCCTGTGAACAGGAGCTAACATGACTGTAGTCTGGGATACTCCAGTGAGCAGCAGATCAAGACAGATGCTGGGACTTGTAGCCAAGCAAGGGGAAGAGCTCCATGGGTCCTGTGGAAGTGTTGGGGGAAAGATGGAGGGGACAGGAACTTCACATGAAGACCAACAGATAAAACTAACCCAGTCCAGTGGGGGCTTACACAGAGTGAGACATCAATTAAGGAGCATGCATGGTCTGGACATAGGCCCCTACAGTTATACTGTTCTTATATGGGGAGTCTGGCAAGTGTGTGTGTGGGGGGTATTTCTAACATGAACTCTATTGCCTGCTTTTGGATCACTTTCCCTGGCAGGGATGCCTGGCCTGGCCTCAGGTGATGAGGATATGCTCAGTTCTCATGTGATTTGATGTGCTGGGGAGGGTTAATACAGGGGATGGGGAGTTGTAGTAGGATCTGCAGCTAAGTAGAGGGAGGCCACCTTCAGCTGCCTGCTCTAAGTCCACTGAATGAAGTGTTCATCTCATCCAAAAACATCCTTCCAGAATCATCCAGAGTATTTGACTAAATATCTGTTTACAATGGCCCAGGTTGATGCATACAACTGTTTCAAGTCCACCCCTTGTCCACTCAGAACCTTTATGATTCTCCGTAAGCCATAAACTCCGAATAGAGCTGCAGCAGGGGTCATCCTCCCACCTAACTCGGTATGTCCAGCTCCGGAAGAGGACGCCGTAGCCTGAATGCTAGAGTGTAAAGTTAACGAAACTTTATCCTAATGGAGACGTTCCTTATGTTACCTGGAGATAATGAGGGAAGAAAACTTAGCTGAGTGTGAATACATGTGTATGCACAGGTATATTTGCAAACATTTATAAGGAAGAAACACGGCTACGGTTCTCTGTAACTGGTCATATCCTTGTAACGCTCCTATTACACAGCTCATATTTCCTTTGCCTTCAGCAAACAACTCAGCTAGGTGTGGTCTTGACCTAGTGAGGCAATCCCAACTTTCTTCCTTGAAGGTGTGCCCTATTAGCGGTTCTGTCTGGATTGTGCTGTTATAATTTCCTGTTGACGTTAATCATGGGGGATGGGGAATGAAAGAGATGTCCTCCTTCAGTTGTCCTTCCTTTTCATTTTTGTGCAATAGTAGTCCAATTTCTACAGGTTAGGATCAACACATTCTACTTGACACCATAAGTCACTTTTTTTTTTTTCCTTTCCTGCCTGATTTAGAGGCATTTAGATCCCAGAGCAGCAGGGTGGCAGTCACCTTCTGGGTCAGTAGAGTCACTGTTGTGTGTCCCCATACAAGTTTTCCTTCTTTCGGGACTAGGACCTCTAGATCAGCAGAGCATAAGGAAGCAGAAATTTTGCTCGTGGGTCACTAGGGATAATAATGACCAATCACCCCCAAATGGAGCCCCCTTTTTTTGGACCTTTGAACTTTGGCTATGGTAGAAAGCATCACATTCTAGGAACAGAGAGCCTTCTAGGCACCTTGCCTTGCCATAGCAGGGAATTCTCTTCCACATCAGTAACTAAGTCTTCAAAAGTGATTTCAGTGTTCTGTCAAGCCAGCTGCTTCAGGTAGGAACATGGCCCAGGGAAGTCAATGAGCCAGGTCCACTGCTGCCCTTTTAGATGTGAGGTGAGGCCCCTGGGCAAAGTGCTACTGCTCTGTGTAATATGCTTGTAAATTGTGGCTGGTACTTTTGCAAGCACTGTTGTGTTCAGGGCAGGCAAATCCTCATTTGGAGCGCTGCCTCCAGGATTAAAACACCGTGAGTTCCATCGTGAAAGGGCTGGTGCCATCAAAAGGTCCTGTGGGCACCCAGAAGTGTCTGCAGCCAGGTCACGTGTGGAGGGCGGTGGCCTGTGTTTCTGAGCCCATGGTAGTCCCTGTCCATGCTACCACAGTCATTTTGTCCATAAGCCATCGG